GAAAAGCTGTTCATTTCAAAATGGAAAGGATCCAGGACTCTTTCTTCTCTTTTGATTTAAGCAATACATTTCAAAACTTTTATTAATATCTGATCTTTCATTCCTTGAAGTGATATGCAGCTGCAATGGTTTAAGTTATTAAGATGAAATGTTGGAAAGATTTTTGGAAGAATGTATAAGTTCTGAAGGACTTGTGGTGCTGTTCCTTCATATGGATACCTGCATAGCCAACATAAGCTGAATCTGTCTTGCAATCAAAAATATTTCTGTTAAATTTCTCATTAATTAGACCAGATCAGAGTTAAAGCAAGGATCATGAACCACCAACTTGCCAATTTTACAGCCAATTTGCATTCTTCCTCTCCTCTTCTTTCATTTCCTTCTTTTTCTTCCCTGTCTTCAGGCATTATGCGAACATTAAGAAGGCAGCACATGCTTTCATCTATGTGTACACAACTAAAGACATAAATATATTAACTATGTCATAATTTTGTACCCTCCTCTACACATTCAGTGATTTATATGAAATATTCCATGACAATCCTAGAGTCAATCTTTTGTCTGTTCTGCACTTCTTCAACAAACAATAATAAATATTTGGATGAATGAAAACACGCAGTTTATTTGGATATGAAAACTTCCTTTAATAGTTATAACAACCAAAAACTGTAAGTAGACAACATTTCCTTGATTTTGCTGAGGGTGTGGATAAAGTTCCAGATTCCTGGCAGGAAATCGTGAGGAATTCACTTTTTCTTCTGAACAAAAAAGAAGAATTCAGACATGTCTTAGAAAAGACAAAAACTGAATATGAAGCTCAAACCTCGTTCCCTGAAACAGCATCAGGCAATGGACTTGTATCAAAGTTCCAAAGTCAACAAAGCTAACAATGCTTTACAAGCAGCAACAGCTCTGGTTGTGCTGGAAAAATACCTGCAAGTACACACACACAGGAAAACAACAATAACAACAAAAGAAAAAAAAACCAGCAAAGAACTTGTTTAGCTAGACACAGTTTAGAAGCAAGAAGAGATGTTGTAATGCATAGTACAGTAAACTCAGCTCTATTGCCCTTTGCACCCATGCGTTTAATTCTTCAGTTCTTCAGTTTTTGTTCCCAAACACTCCAAATGTCCTTCTGTCTAAGACAGACAGCATCACAGTGATTTTACTAGAAGTCTTACACTTACAAGCAGCACTATAAAGCATAACATGCATGTGATAGATTGATAAGAAAAAGGTAGTTTCAATTGCAAGACAGTAAAGAGTATTATAAACAATTGTAAAATGAAATAAAAGAAAACAAATCCTCTGTGAAATAAAAAGTCTCTGCATAATAAAAAAACCCTCCTCTCATTGCTAATTATCTGGTTAATGCTGTCAGTGGAGAGGCCTAGGAAATGAAGAACAGAACTACCTTCTCGATCCACGTGCTACCTCCAGGGCACGACAGAAACATGTTGGCAGAAGAGTGAGGAAACTTGCCCTAGTGCTCCTGGGCTATGCCTAGGGATGTCTTTTTTTCATGTGCAATAAATATACTAAAAATGGCATAAGAAGAAAAAATGATGAAACATCTTGACAGCCTCTTTTAAATTTGTCAAAGATTTAATAAACTACTAGAAGTGCAGCAAGCCTGTCAAGGTGTAGATGGCTCTGTGCCTGAAAACCCTTATACACTGTCCATTACCACAGCTAATCCAGCCCCAGGCTGGATTAATTTGTATGATGTTAAAAAGCCCTTCCAGCTATCCAAAGGTGTCAAAGTAGGCTAGTACAGACAGAATGCTTGGGAATACAGCCATAGCCATTGCACTGTGGGAATACAGCCAGGTGTCCACTGTTTTAACCATACCAATTTGTCTACAATATCAAGACTGTATCTCATCCTCCTGTGCAGACACATAACAAGTCAAGTTAGAAGGAGCTATACTGATGCTGGAGAAAGAAACGTTCCCAGACTTTGAGCACATCAGAGATCATCCTAAGGCTGAGAGTTTACACACCTATTATTGTTGATAGCAAAGACAGAAGAGACTTCCTTTTCTTTCAAAAATAAAGATGGACGTTTTGAAGTCCAAAATGAGATGGGTTCAGTAGTTATACTTAGGTCTATTTCTCCTTTTTCTCCTTACAAATGACAATAGGAAAAACATATGTCAAAGTAACTTTTCATACTAAAATATTCGCATGAGCATCACAACAGTACCATAAATAAGAAAATTCATTTGGTTTGGGTTTTTAAATTATCTTTACAATTTTAAGGAGTGAAAACACATACTTAAAGTATAGAAGAACATGCCAACAGTGACACCTCATCAAAAATTTTGCCTCACTGTTCAAAGAATACTTTTATAGAAACAAGACTTTCTGTTAAGACACAAAAAATATGGCAACATATTTTTCTAACTAGCTTCTAGTATTGTTCATAGCAAATTTTTCAAAATGCCAGGAAAAAAAAGATAGAAATTGGAAGATTTTTATATTACTTGTTCCTCAAACTTCAGTGCCAAAATCACCTAACATTACAAATAAATACATATTTTAAGTAGGAAATTCTAGGATTCTTATATAATTTTTTTCATTGCAGTACTTGTAGCCATGAGAATCATAATGTTAATATTAATGGAATTAGCAACTTAGTGTTTATGTTTGAGGAAATAAAATGGAATTGCTAAACTACTTTTCTTTCTAATATCTGGAAGGCCTGTTACCAATAGAGTAGTCCTTCCCAGTCTGAACAATTTTATAATGGAAATATTATGCTAGATGCTCTATATTTCCTCGGTTAGTTTTTACACTAGAGAATGACGAAGAAGTAACTGAAGGGGAATAAGCATCAACCCTGCTGCATGGTATGGTTGTTTAGAAAGATGACTCTGTATTTCCAAACTATATATTCTGAAGTTCAAATATATTTATGTTATTATTTGAAAATTATATTTCAAACAGAGAATCATGCATTTTGTGTCTTATACCTATGTCACTTTTGAGCTATGAAAATATGAAAGTTGATTTATAGATGACTGCCAAGCTAAGCATGTTGGGATTTGTGGCGTCTTGAATGTGGCCAGTAGCTGAGTTACAATCCAGTTGCTTGCTCACTCATCCCCAGCAGGGTATGGAAAAGAATGAGAAAGGCAGAAGTAAAATAAATTCATACTTCAAGATGAAAGAAATTAAATAAGTGTAGAAAACACTCACAAAACATTGATGCAAAGGCAAGCACCTAGAACATCACACCAACAGGCCAAAGCCCAGACAGTGTGTATGCAATGGCTACACTGAAAGACTACTCCTCCTTTCTACTCTTTATTCCCTAAAGAGTTCATTATTTTGGAAAACTGCAGATATTTTGCAACAGCATATGTTATATAAATATATACGTCATATAAATTGATTTTGAATAACTCGACTACCAAGATTTTTTCACTATTTGTGTGTACTACAACTCATTTGCAGAATAAATATCACTGAAGATGGCAGGGCCTGAATATTACTTTAGGGTGTAATCAATGTGACCCAAAACAAACAATGAAAACCAAAATTGATATAGGGTGCATTATGCTAGGTTTATAAAACTGGAAAAAAAAAAAACATAACCATAAGATGAAAACAACATTGCCTTATAAACATAATTGATTATTTAGTTTTTTTAACTAATATTTGACCCTTGGGATATACAGTCAATTTCCTACTGGAAGACAAGAGCACTGTGCAGAGGTAGTTTGGGGAGTTTTGTTTCTAGATCCATTGCCCAGTGCATTGGAGTTTAGTTTATCCAGTTTACCAGCATGAGCCAGGACAGTTAGAGTGCTAATAAGAAAAGGAAGAAGTAGAGCTGCTTATGTTAAAGAGTAATACAGAATAGAAATGATGATGGTGGAATAAATAACAGAAAAGGAGTGTATTTCATCCAGAAATTAGCAAACATCAGTAACCATTAGCAATATCCCATTTGAGTCACAGCAATGTAGATTATTTGTATGATATCAATAATTAAATGAGAAAATTTATATAATATAGCATTTGTGTTAGGGAAACAGAACTCTAGAATTTGGATGTGTCAAATAGCTTTTCTTGTCCTTCTGATTATTAATATGATTTTCAAGAATGTCTTACTAAAGAAGTATAAACAAAACAGAAAATTCTCATTACTTATTAGATCATAAAAACAACAAAAACTCACCATTATTTTGGGTTACATATTTTGAGGAATGAACAAACCAACCTCTGGCAAACTAATTCAGTGATATCCTAAAAATCAAAGCCTGTTTTAATTTCTAAATAATTCTATTTTAACTTACCATGTAATGTAGAAAGGCAAAAAAGGTAAAATTACTCATTTGAAGTGGTTCAGTGAAGTACAAAATTCACATTTCTGTCCATCCTCAGTTCTAGTAATGCAATATATTCTGTTTTCTACTCATACTACATTAAGAGAACCAAGATCATGGTAGAGACAATCAGAGGATTGTCTCAGGAACAATTCTGACATAGCTCAGCCTTCTGTAGAGGTTAGTGTAAAGCCAGATTGTAGCTGATACAGAGAAAACATCAAGTAATGCAAGCTTAGATATAGAGTCCTTTGTCATAACTGTGCTCTATCTTCTGACTGTCTTGCCTCTGGTTTATTAGCCTTTTTGCTGTTCTCCCATCTCCAGTTGCAGAAGAGGGACTGTTCATCTAGATTACCAGTCGTGCTTAAAGGTATATTTTTTCTTCTGTTTTTTGGTCACGTATGGTTTTGACGTCTTGTTTTAACTGAAGATTGGACGGAGGCTGTCTGATAACTTTTACCAGCTGAAGAATAAGCACACTCAGCTACATTCTGATCTCACCATGTCACCCCTTGTGTATGGGAATTGCTGAATCATGGCCTGAACCACTGATTGATCACCTGAGGCAAGCCATGGGAGTACAGGTGAAGGCAATTCAGCTGTGCTGCCGGAAGGGGTGGAGCCTGGCTCCACCTCTTCTAGACCCCATTCAAGAGCTGACTACGAGTATGGAAGGATCTCTTTTGGAGATCTGGTCTGCTGAAGTTTCATAAACAACTTCAGGATATGGGTAAGTGTCCTATTTATTCTCTTTTTGTTATTATAATCTGTTTTGTCTAACTCTCTTCTTTATTTCATAATTATAACATCTTAATATTCATTGATTATACACCCTGTAAGGTAGGAGAGCCATACTAATAGGGTTCAGTCATACTTGCAGCATGGAAGTTACATGGGACTTGTTCAGTATAAGCTGATACTACCTACTTAATTAAGCCACAATATTATGTAGCTGACTACAGTATGTGTGCGCTTATGGTTCTCCTGTAAGTCTTGAAACCTGGGCACGTTCTCTATTTGTCATAAGCTTTTCTGGTCTGAAACAGCAGTCTTGGATAGATAGACACTTATGTTTTAAAAAGTCTTGGAAATTAGGTAGCTAGTTGTACTTCTGTTGACACTTATGGATTCTATGTGAGCATACAGGCACACAGAAATAGGGTCTCTACTGAAGTTAGCCTTTCTATATATGGATATCCTTGATTAATATTGCTACTCATGTAATCAAAGAAATATGCAAATAGTACAGTATTCTGTTTGCTTTTGACTGTCTACCTAAGCCAATAACTGACTTCAAAACTAGACTCCACATTATAGCAGTCTGCATAAACTTTAGTCACATCCATAATGCTACTGCAGAAAAGAGAAGAAGGATAAAGGGAACCTATATAAAAGTGGATAATTACAACAATCAGCACAGGGGAATTGCCTGTCCTGAAACAACCAAGAAAAGGTGGAGAAACTAAATCCAGAAGCAGTGTGCCATAGTCAGAGGTGTCAGAAATAATACCATTTGACTCAAGCTTGACAATTCAGTGTAGTGGTAACTCTCCTCTAAACTTTCTACCTTTGTGCATTCCTCAGTGCAGTCCTATTCTGTTTTATTACAGAAGCTGTATGTGCATTAGCATGTCTCTTTCTCTGTAACTACTTTTATGCTTGTGACTAATGAGTCTCATATTTTTCTCAGTGTTCCACCTCTAATGATTTGTCTCCCATCAAACCCAAAGTATAAACAAGATGTGGCATTACAGCAATGCAACCATGTCTAAATAGGAACAACAACATACTTCAGCCATCTCTTTGTACAGTATTGAAAGATATGTATGAAATAGTAATTGTTTACTACTTTCATATGAAAACAACAAATGATGAGATAGTATTTAATAAAGTCCTTTGCAGCTCATAATGAAGTGAGAAATCACAGTCATAGCCTTTGCAAAATAATTTAAAGCTGTACATATCATAAAGCATATGAGCATATTTCTGTCTTGTTTAATTGGTAAATAATATATCTACAAGCTTTCTCTCCTTTTCCACACAGAATAAAGGAATAAGTAAATTTTTTTTAAAAAAAAAAAAACTACCAAAGAGCAGCTGCAAGTTTGATCTTTCTCTATACCACAAAAGAGAAAAAGTGACTGCAATATTATAAGCAAGAATTTCAACTATTTCTTAGAATTTTTTTTTTTTCAGAATCACTCCACATTCCAGAATTATGCGGATGGAACACAGTGGAAAATCAAATACTAGCACAGAATAAAACTACAGGGATTGTAGTAGAGCGCTGCCTCACCCATAGCTATTACGAGGTGGAGAACAAAGCCTAATTAAACTAAATGAAGAACTGCTATGGCCCACACTTACTGCTCTTAAAGCAACTTTTCTCTGATTCAAGTGGAAATGAAGTGCCTTGTTGACCATATCAGCAGTTAACTTTGACACTATGTTTATGTACATGGTTTATTTAAGACAATGAAAAATCTTTTTTTACCTTCCTCCACAAAGGAACTAGTATTCTTATTAGTCTTCTTGACCTCTTAAAAAAAATTAAAATGTAAAAAATAAAAGCAAACTAAACCAAAGCATATATATGTTAAAAAATAAAAAAATAAAAAAAAAAAAAACCTCTTTTTTTTACCCAGTTAAGCAGTTTAGAGTTTGGTATGAGCTTGGATACTCTTCTTTCAGTTCCAGTTACTGAGATTCATCTCTCCATTCTTTTTCACATCTTCCTCTAATTTTTTACATACTTGAGTATTATTTCTATTTCTTATTGGACTTAAGTTGCTACAACTTTATCATAACATCTGAATCTCCATAAAAGTCTCACAAACATCAAAAATGTGTCCAAGGCAAAAATTTTGGAAGAAATTAACTTTGTGCCAACACTCTTGAGTACTAACATGTAGCTTTGGAGAAGTCTGAGCAAGTCCTTCTGCCTTTCGCTACTTGCAGGAGAATTTCAAGGAGAATTTCAAGGAGAATTTAATTTTTTTGTATCATATTAACTACAGCTTCACTCATGATATCTGAATATACTTATGCTATTAATAACAGTCTGCAATTGCGAAGATAAGCTAAGTCTTCCTTTCTTCAGGCTCTGAAACACTTACCTGATCCTACTATGGTCCAAGTTCTTACATAGACAACTTGTACTTTTTAGATTCCTGTTTCTAGTCTTATAGTCTTATATAGTAGATGAGGAGAGGGAAGGCATGAGAGAAATAATCAGTCTTAGCTATCATCTTCATTAGCTTTTCTTGAAATTCCATAATCTTCTTTATTTTTTTCCCATTTCATCTTTTTAATAATAACAGTACAACCTTCCTGATTTCCTGAAGTCCACTGTGACCCTCTGCAGAAATTTCTGGCAACCACTCTATTTAGTGCTATTCTTTTTTTTTTTTTCTGGTTTAAATGTCATCCACATGCTTTATTTCCTTGGGTAGAAGATTTCCAAGGATTTTTAGCCCTTATATAAATACACATATATACTTATCCACTTTCAGGTATTTTCAAGATACGTTACATTCCATTTACGCAAGGAGCTCACGTTCAGCAGAAATCAAACATAATTACATTCTCCATATTTTCCTAAAGAAAAACTCCTGCACCTATATTGTCTCTATAAATTCAGTTACCATAATAGTCTTAACAGGCAAATAAACACCTCTCAAAGACCTAATGAACTGATGTTTCAGAGACAAGAAACCCATTTCCCAGTTGTTCCCAGGAACAGCGAAAAAGCAGAGATGGTGCATGCAATATTTGGTAATAAAGGAGTAACTTGGTATTGTAGCATAGGATTTCTCATCCTGAGCTTTTTTAGTGACTCATGCAGCACAAGGAATATTTGTGAAGGCAAAGAGGGTTTTGGAGTTAGCACTTGTTATGTGACTGTCATTCTGATACACAAGTTTTGTTTTCAGTACCCTTATTTTCAGTGAGAAATGTAATCAGATTTTTATAATCAATAACACAAATGTTATTTGAATGACACCAGGGCAGGAGCCATGAATATGATTTTGTGACTATGTGTTCTTGAGGATTCCTAACTGAATATGTTTATGAAAGTGATTTCTTTAGTTTTTCCATTAACCTACACAATTCCCCTTCTGCAGAATGCTTCTATTTATTTTCATGATAACACAAAAACAACATATAATGTCTCAGGCCAAACAATGAAATAGTGATCTAAAAGGCTAAAGACCCTTTGATCAGGGTATTAGAGGTTATTCACAGAAAAACTGTTGTGCTTCCAAAGTTTTATGTTATAACTTAATATGCTTAAGATAATCTCAGCTGCACTAGACCTTTTGGTAATTCTGTTTCTATCATCAAACAAGCCTTATGGCATTGAATATAGTGGTAGTTCATAATGAAGCACTTCGTATAGAAGCAGCTGTCTCCTCACCTGTTTCCCAGTCCATCCAGAGGCCTGGAGAAATTCTTCAATTTAGCAAGCAAACTTAAGTCATTATTAGAAATGACAGGGAAACCTGATGAAATTGTACTTTCAATTGGAAAACAAAATTGCAATCAGACCAACATGATTTCCTCATGGTCTGACCATGCTAATGCCAAGTCGAGACATGGGCAAATGTATTTAAAAGTCATAATGGAGTATTACCATGCAATCTCTTTTTACTGGCCCTTATTAATATAAAACTTCAATTTGCATGTAAATGTGGTCAACTTTCATATCATCAAAATACATGAGGCCTGGGAAAGTAATGAATTGAAGTTTGATGCAGCAATTACTGACGTTTATAAAGAATTTTAAAGAGGTCATTCTAGCCTTGGCTGAGAAAATGAGGAAATCAACAGGGAATATTGTCAATATAGCAACAGTGGGAGTTGGAGTCAGTCCCAGGTGTTAGAAGGCCAGATGATGATTAATAGAGAGGGAGTATGAAGCCTTTCACCCAGAAGGACTGGGCTGGACCTGGAGCTCAATAACAGAGCTCTCATGAAAAGGTTCTTGCTGGGTTCCCACTTTAGCTGCTCGAAATGTGTTCCAGGGGGAATAAAGTAGCAAGTGTTTATGAGAGAGAGCAGTGCTGAAGGTTTAATTGGTCTCCACATCCTTTCAGCTCCCTTCAGTAGTTGATATGCAGTTTAACCTTTTTTTACCCACCTCAGATACTCTAGTGCCACTGGGATTTTAATAAGGCACTAGCTTGATAGCTTGAAAAGACTTCTCTTCTAAATTGAGTTAAACTACCTTATTGTATAATAATGACCATTTATAAATCTCTTGATTTAAAAACAGCCCAAACAAACAAAAACCTAGAAAATATCATATTCCTGGAACATTAAAAACTTACAGATAGTGGAATTGTTTTGAACTTTTTTTTTCCTTTTCTTTTCTCTGAAAAGCTTCATACAGAGGAAAATATTAAATAGGTAAAAAAAAAAAAAAAATCAATGCAGGAATAAGAGCTCTGCAGTATTTTCCCACTTTTATAATGAAAAAAGCATTGTAAAGAGTGGACACTGTCCAGTGTGCAGGATTCAAAGCAGTGAGGAACTGGTTGGTGGTAGACAATGTGCTTAGTGGTTGGAGTCCTAATTCTGCAACATTGTGTACTTCAATGTAATTGCTTACACAAGTCTGAAATATATGAAACATTTTCAAGAGGCTCATTTCCCAAACCAATAGTTCCACAGGCATATGCAGCAAATTGGTCAGTAATTACATAGATAACTCAGTAAAGAATCAGGCCC